ATGGCCAGCTTGTTTGTAGAGAGCCTAGGCAGAGGGGAATACCATCACTTCACCAGGGTATAGCTTTGTGCTACATATATATAACTCCCTTGTTCCCACCACAGCATTTTAATAGGTTCCCCAGGACTTAGACATGGCTTTGGCTTTCTGTCGGATTAAAATAGCATTACCTTGGAGTTAAAGCAGAATACAAGTTAGGCAGAAAACTTGGGTTGAGATTTCAGCAGTCAACCTAGTCAGGGTTCTGCACCTAACTTTTGACTACTTCGGGTTTTCCTTATCAGAAGGGGAGTTCAGACAGCAGAGGGAGACGTAAGTGTACTTTCATTCTGAATCCTGCAAGGAAGTTGTGACTGTTCAGGAGGCTTTGGTGGGCTTCCTAACACCTAGAGGTGTTTGAGCAAGAGGTCTGTCCTTTAAAACAAAGATCTGACTGATTTTAAAAGCTGCTTGTCAGTCAAGTATGGTGGTACACTCCTGTAATTAGAGAGGTGGAGGCAGGAGGGTATGGAGCTCAAGGGTGGTCCAGGCTCCAGGAGATTTGATTACAAACAAAAACTACTCTTGGAAGCTACAAGAAAAAGTATTTTTCTAAGACCACAGATGTATAAAGGCAAAAGAAGTTTAAAAGAAAAAAAAAAGCAGGAGCAATTATTTCACAGGTAGATGAAGCTCTGGTTCCCACTTAGGAAACCAGGTCCTTAAAGGAAGTCATTTACCCCAAAACACACCAAGCCTTGTAAGAAGTAATTTAAATGGCAGGAATTTTCAATTACAACGGAGAACGGAGGTATTGGATACAGATTAAAAACACTGATGCACCTGGGGAAGTGATTCACGCCAGTAGTCTTAGCAGAAGGGAAGCTGAGGCAGGAGGATTTGGAGAATTCCAGGCCAGCCTGTGCTGCCTGGTGACTCGCAGGCCATCCTAGGCTACAGAAGGTTCCTGTCTTTAACTACATTCTTCACCTGAGCGCTCCCTGCAGAAGACACAATCTTGAGTACATGGTGAGTCTGCCACCAAGCTGGTAGAACTTCATTCTTCCAAGGGACACAACCAGAGCAAACCCAGAAAGAGGAAAATAACAAAACTGAGGTTTTCTTCTTTGTTTTCTGGCATTAAACGGCCAAAGAAAAAGTGGCCACGAGTGCAGATCATCAAATCAGCGTAAATACAGAATAAGGTACCGGGAGCACCAGGGCACGATTTACCTGGAAAGAAAGGCTCCAAGCAATGACCCGAGCAGCGAGACACCAAAGAAGAAATGATTCCCCAAAGCTAAGAATTAAAGGGGGAGGGGGAGAATCAGGGCAAACGAAACAACTTGCAGAGATTCACATTCTCAAGCGACCACTGTGCAAAGATGGGAACAGGGAGGGGCGCCATGGTGGGAGAAGCAGAAAGGACGAGCCCACACAAACATCAATTCTGAAAGTCGCCGTGGAGAAAGACCATCATACAAAAATAAGCGGGGAAGTTGGGAGGGGGGCAAAATACACATTTTTTTTTTAATCAATCAGACTGTCGTTGGACACAGCAATGTGTAAAAGACTGAAACCAGCAGCCTTTGGCTGTCTAGGGAATGCACTCATGGGGCGGGGCGGGGACGGGGCGGGGGCGGTGCCAGGGGAGTAGCGTCTCTAGTTATTTTGCAAACCCTAAACACAGGAACTTGCCGGAAAGGTTTGGTATATTCAGATGCAAAGTAGGAAGTGAAATCGGCAAGACAGTGACCCCAGCTTGTTAAAGGTGAGGGGGGCACTCCTATAGGTAGGGTGTCAACTCTGGGGTCAACTAGGGCATTACAAGAGATTTAAGAAAAACAGAAATGCTTTGACGATAGGAAGGCCCCTGGGCCAAGCCCCCATTGCCGTACAGTGTCCAGCAGGCTTCTTTCCAGGGCAGGCTGTCCTTGGCTTTGTCCAGGCAGCCTCTGCACTGAAGTTACAGAAAACAAAAAACCAAGAACCGTGTCCAGGACTTTGCTCCATCCAGGGCAGTTCAGTGGATTAACAAGCAGGTATTTGAGTCCAGTAACGAGTTTAATCTAATCAGTCTTTGGCCCCTCTCCAAGACAGAACCAAACTTGCATTTAAAAGGTGCCACAAGTCTGGAGGTGCTGTGGGTGGGTCCCCATAAGAACTCAGAAGAGACCAAGCATGGAAGACAGGAAACGAACCCTTTCCTGATAAACCGAGGGGCAGTTCCCCCAAAGCCCCGAGTCCCTGGGAAAAGATCAGAATAGTAGGGAATGGGCAGGGTCTCGGTTTACTCACGCCGGGCGATCGCCGGCTCACCCCACTCAACAGTGGCTCAGAACGCCGCCTGTCCTCGCCGGAGACCTCCAGAAAACTGGACGGAACGAGATACTGGAAAGAACACAGACATCAGGACGCAGCCTCTCCAGCTGGAAAGTCGACCTGCACAGTTGGCCCCAGCTGCTAGCCAGGTGACGTGCGCCAGCAAGTCCAACAGGTCCACGACCGCTGGTGCCCGCCCAGCGAAAAACATCGCCCCCTTCCAACGACCAAAGACAAGGGCTCCGGGGAGATGTGAACGGCGGCCCCCGGACCACAAAGACTGTGCCAAGCCATGCTGGAGCCCAAGACCCTCACAGGAAGACCCTGGAAAGTGCAAAAAAACAAAACAAACAAACAAAAAAACTACAAAACCAAACCCACTTCCGCCTCTGTGGGCGGAACCGACGAGTCAAGTTTCCAAAACCCACCCACTAACCTCCTCCCCCGTGGGGACGCCTACTGGTTTAAGTTTGCAAGTGCTGACGTGCTCAAACAAGCTCAAATGTCACCAAAAACAGAGTACACCGTAAAACCTGCAGAAAAAGAAGCTGAGTGTGGCTCACGCCCACCCCCCTTTTTCTTTTCTTTTTCTTTCCCTTTTCCTTTCTTTCTTTTCTTTCTTTTTTCTTTTTTTGGCGAGGTGTTGCTTAAGAGGGAAGATCACGAATTGCGAACCATCTTGAGCTACATAGTAAGTCCCAGTCCAAAATAAATAAATAAAATCCATTTTACCAGGTCATTCAACACAAAAGCTACAGGTAAAAGAATTGTTGATCAAAAAAGAAAGTTCCCGTAAGGAAAACATTCAGAATTCACTTAACAGTTAGACAGGACAAGGGTAAAGGTTCTTCCATGCTCAATTTTTGCTGCGGCCCTTTCAAGTTTAACTAGAATCTGATCTCTTTGATGGAGAATCCCACGGAAAATTGCCCAACTCTGTTCTAGGTCAAGGTGCCCTGGCTACGCCTCTGTTAAACAGCCTGCTGGTGCAAACCTCCCCTTCCAGCTAACTCACTTATCTTAGCATCTGTCAAATTACTTGCTTACACAAAGCGCCAACCCCCCCACCCCCACCCCACCACCAGCTGCCAAGTGAGAAGCTAAGACACGGTTTCTGCCTTCAAAAACCCCATGCTCCGGACATTGGGAACTATCCTGAGGTCCTGAATATCTAAAATGTAGTGCCAGTTGGCTGGAATGAAGACTTTTCAGCAGGCTATAGACTATGGCTGCCTGGGCTCCCAGCAACAGTGACCAACAGCCGTGGAAGCCTTAATCCTAGCAACGCAATCAGGAGGCAGACGCAGGTGGATAGATAGATACCTGTGAGTTCACAGACAGACAGGACTATATAGCCTTGCCTCAGAAAGCCAAAACACAAAAAAAGAAAGAAAGAAAGAAAAGAAAAAAAACAATAATTTGCTTACAAATTTGTGATACAATTGTTTGTGATATGGGAAAGCTGAACCTTTTGTTCAGAACCTTTTTTAAACCATAGGTGGCGGTGTGACGGGGAGTCATGTTCTTTCTCATTTAAAACCATCCCCATTGGTCAAGGCTTGACTTATGCAACCTCCTACTGGCCCTACCCTTCTTACTGTAGAAACAAAGGTTAACTAATAAAACCTGGAGGGATTTATTAGAGTTTGGATTTACTTCCACTGAACACAGTGGCCTTTGTTCTATGGCGTTCCTTTGTTAATGTTCAAGCGAGTTTGCCCTCCCAAGCAAATCGAGACCTGGTTAAGAGAAAACATCTTGAAATAATCAGAGTTCTGCCTGAGTGAGAAAGGAGTTAGTAGGGTCAGGCTTACTTTAAGAGGTAGATGGATGGATGGATGGATGGATGGATGGATGGATGGATGGATGGATGATAAATAGATAGATAGATAGATAGATAGATAGATAGATAGATAGATAGATAGATGGATGGATGGATGGATGGATGGATGGATGGATGGACGGACGGATAGACGGACTGACAGACAGATAGACAGAAGCACTGAATTCTCAATTCCCAGGGAAAGCGTTTCTTGTCAATAACGCTACTGTGCTTTGGGAAAAGGCAGAGATACTTCGCTGTGCTCTTGAAAGTAAAACTGAGAGCACTGGGTAAACTCCTGAGCACGCACACAAGGAAATGATCCCTTTCAAAAATGGGTAGTTAGGACAGTTCAACTCCAGGAAATGAGTAATTCTCAAGACGTTTACGCAAGGCTGTTGTGGCTCGACCCGCAAAGTTAATCTTCAACTTTCCGCCTGGGGATGCAGGTGTGATCCCCCTGGGGTTCAAGGGTGTTCCCTCCGGATGCTCAAGAGTCCTTCAGGGGCTACTTCCCCGCGGGTCCCATCGCCTGAACACATCAGGCCACCTCGGGCTGGGGACTGTCGCCTCTTGCGGCCGCCCTGCTGGGACCCGCACAGTGGGAAGGGGCGCAGGGCCGCGGAGGTGGGGAGCTGCGCTGGGCGCACCGTCCAGACCGGTGCCTGGCGGGCCGAGCCGGCGGGGGAACTCCAGTCCTCCCGGTTCCTCCCGTCGTCCCCGGTGCTCGCCGGAGTGCGACTCGCAGCAGCGGCCTCCAGGGTAGAGCCAGGAGGCTCACAGCTGGGATGGGGGGGAGGGGCCGCGGTGTCCCGGCCGCGCACTGCGCCGCAAGGAGCTAGTGTGGTGCGCGTGTTACACCGCGCAGGTCACGTACCCGTCTGCCTTAAGTGGCGGCTGGGGTGGCTCTGGTCCCAGGGACTTCACTCTGCGGGCGTCGGATCTGCGGATCTGCGCAGACAAGATGGAGACACACGGAAACCGAAAGCGAGCGAGCGGACGTGGCGGGTGCGGTTCCCCTGACCTCCAGCGCGGATTGGGCCTTGATCCGTCATCGCGCTTTGAGTACTGGGGACCCAGTTTAGGTCCTCTGCCCCTTGCTTGACTTTATAAAGACAATAAAAAGGGCTTTGGATAGATTTGTATGTCACTTTTAATTTGTAGAAATGTTTCAAATACAGGGAAAGAAAACACAAAATAGCAAACATCTTTATTTCTGTCACTCAGAACTGAACGTGTGTGCCTCTCATCCGGTGGAATCGCCCCAGGGGGAGGGAACAGGAAACCTACAAGCCCTTCTGCCCCCTTGCTGGGTTCTGTTTTCTACTTCCTATTCCTGCAGCTTCCCCTTGACTCCCAGGACTTTTTCTAAGAAGAAGCCATACTTTTTAACAGCTGGGATATTAACTATTGACTAATAAATTGAATAGTGACTGTAATCTCATGATTTGGGAGGCAGAGGCAGGAGGATCAGGCATTCAAAGCCAGTCAGGGCTATCTAGCAAGTTCAGGGCCAGCCTGGACTATATGAGATCCTGTCTAAAAAAACAAGGACAGTGGCTAATAAATCATCTTTCTTTAGATTTAAAGAACCCAGAATGTCTAATAATCTTCATATAACACCAGAATACCATATACACCAGATTCATATAACACCCTTTTTCTTTCTTTTCTTTTTAATTCTATGAATTTAAATTTTTTTACATATAACGTATCTTGATTATATTCTCTCCGCTCACCAAACTCCTCCCTGATCCTTGGCACATCGCTACCCACCCAACTTCATATTCTTTCTCTCTCCCCCAAATGACCCCAAAGCCAAAAATAAAAACAAACAAAAGCCAATAAGACAAAAAATTACCAAAAGTAAAACACACGCACACACACTCACACATATGCATACATGCACACATGCTCACATACACACAGTCACACATGTGCATACACGCACACACACGAGGATTCTGTGTTGGTCAATCACTCCCACGCGTGCGGGGGCTGATCTGAAGTGTGAATAAACACAGTAGGTACCAATTAGACATAGCTTCGTGGCTAGGGGTGGGACTCTGTGTCCACTCCCCTTCTCAGTGCTGGGATTTTGTCTATGTCGAGTCTATGTAGGTCTGTCATGTGTCTGCTGTCAAAACCTTCATGAATTCGTATGTGTATGAGCCCTGCTGGGCCTTGAAGAATTTCCTTGGAATGATCCAGTACCTCTGTCTGTTCCCAGCTTTCTGCCTCCTCTTCTGCATCGATCCCTGAGCCTTGAGGGGAGGGGTATGATGAAGACACAGCAAAGTTCCTCACTGTCCACACGCTGTCCAGTCGTGGGTCTCCGTGTTAACTCCCATCTATTGCAAAAAGAGGCTTCTCTAAGGAGGGTTGGATGAGGCACTGAGGTATGGGCACAGATAGCAATGCGTCATCAGGAGCCATTTAGTAGCACGGTAGTAGGAGATTTCCCCCTAGGGGTCATGACCGATCTGGTCTCAGGTCCTTGGCTACTTTAGCAGCATCCTGTGTGGGATCTACCGCATGGAGCAAGCCTGAAACCCAGTCAAGGAGAGGTCGGTTACCCCTATAACATTTATGCCGCTACTGCACTGGTTTACCTAGCGGCCAGGTCGGTGTTGTAGGTCATAGAGAATAAAGGCCAATATTATTTAGGACCTCGAGTTTTAGCAGGTTTGGTCCCAATCCTAAATCTTAAATCTTAATTGCTCCTCACTAAAAAGATTTTAAAAACACCAGCTTTCTTTTTCTTTTCTTTTTTTAAAAATGTTTACTTATTTATTATGTATACAATATTCTGTCTTTCTGTATGTCTGCAGACCAGAAGAGGGCACCAGACCCCATTACAGATGGTTGTGAGCCACCATGTGGTTGCTGGGAATTAAACTCAGGACCTTTGGAAGAGCAGGCAATGCTCTTAACCTCTGAGCCATCTCTCCAGCCCCCTTTCTTTTTCTTTTTTTAGTTTTTTGAGGCAGGATTTCTCTGTAGCCATGGAGCCTGTCCTGGAACTAGCTCTTGTAGACCAGGCTGGCCTTGAACTCACAGAGATCTGCCTGCCTCTGCCTCCCCAGTGCTGGGATTAAAGGCGTGCGCCACCGCTGCCTGGCTTGATCGGCTTGTTTTTACAAAGGAAGGAAAAAGCAAGCAATTCTGGGACAAGGAGAGGCCTGAGCCCTAACCTCCTCAGTTCCTGCCGTGGAACCCACGTGGAACCTGCCGTGGAACCACGGTTCCCGTGGAACCATGGAAGGGGGCAGAGAGGGAAGGAGAGGTTTGTCTCTACAGAATGTCCCCTGATCACCACACGCGTGTCAGGCGTGGGTGCCCACATGCATAAAGGTAATAAAAAAGTTAAAAAGTTCACCTTTAACCTTTAAACCCTGTTGTAAATTACTTGAAAACGTGTAACTTAAGGGCTGGGCCAGGTGGCACAGTCAGAGAATCTTTCTCCCTGCCCCCAAAGACCTAACATGGATTCCCAGAACCCTTGGGAGGTGAGAAGAAAGAACCCACTCCGTAAAGGTGACCTCTGACCTTTACATGTATGCCATGCCACATGCATACCAGTGCATACAAGGAACATATAAAATAATAAGTAAAAATGCAAAATATGTACCTATTATGTCCACTGAAAGACAATAGACTCAGCTGTCCCATGAGAAGCCTGTATATTTTTATTTATATAATTTTAGTATAATTTTTATATAATGTGTTACTTATTTATATAATTTTTTACTTATTATGTTCTGCCTGCATGTATGTCTATTCACCAGAAGAGAGCACCAGATTTCATTGCAGATCATTGTGAGCCACTGTGTGGTTGCTAGGAATTGAACTCAGGACCTCAGGAAGGATTATCAGTGCTCTTAACCTCTGAGCCATCTCTCCAGTCTACTATTTCCTATCCTTACAGAGTTCTTAAAAACAATATTTGGATAACAAAAATTAGCAGAGTATCTATGTCCTACAGGAGAGCATTCTGAGAAGACAAAAATGTTGTATCAAGAACTCCCCCCCCAAAAAAAAAATCTAGTGGCATACATCCCCAAATTCACCTTATGAGCCCCATCCAGATTTTACCACATCACGTTTAGTCTAAGAGTCAAGCACTCTACCTTCTTATCAATACACGTTTACTTCAACCACAGGGTCACAGAAAGTTCTGTAGAAACTTAATGATGCCCCCTTATCCTTAATGAAAAGGCAACAGCAACTGTGTACTGTTGAGATTTAGGTGTATTTTCCTGTTGCTGTATGTCTTCCTTCTTTTTTATTTTATTTATTTGTTTGTTTATGTATGTATGTATGTATGTATGTATGTATGTATGTATGTCTGTATGTATTGCCTACTACTCTACACGGATCTACGGTGGACGGTGGAAGCCTGTATGTGGGTCGTCTTGCAGGCCAGCGGGGGGCGGGGTGCTGACAGACAGTATACGGAACTACTTGCGCTGGGCGGGGAATCGAACTCGGGGCCTCGGGCGCTCTACCCCCTGAGCCGTCTCTCTGGCCTTCTTTTTTATTTTTGAGACAGAGTCTCACTATATACATAGCCCTGGCTGACCTAGAACTCACAGTGATCCACCTGCCTCTGCCTCTCCAAGTGCTGAGGTTAAATGTGTGCGTCACACCTGGCTCTCTCTCTCTCTCTGAATTAAGGAATACACACACACACACACACACACACACACACACACACACACACACACACA